TATATATATATATACTAGCTGGCCCGGTCCGCGTTGCCGGCCCGTAGTTTTAGTCTTTAATGCAAATTTTGCATAGCATAATATTTCACAAATGTAGCTCATAAAGGTGAACAAATTTTAATATAAATATTGATTCGACTAAATAGAAATAAATAACTATGGAAGGAGGGCAAAATAATTTCTGAATAGTCAAAGTTAATTACGCTTTTACACCCATTACCATAGCACCTCAAATTGCGCATTAGAGTCCCCAAAAAGTCTATGTTCTTGTTCATGGTAAAATTCAATAACGATTAAACAATACCCGCGTTGTTATCCGCCAATCGGTAAACATCACTATAGATCGGCGGGCCTGGGGACTATATGGTGACTGTACCAAAATATTTACGTATGTTGACATTTTTCTGTAAGATGGTTCTCTACTCACAAAGTAGCCTAAATACAGCAAATAATGGCCAAATCAGTTGAAAAACGTGGCCAAGACCACGGTCACAGCTGTCAGGTCAGGGATACATTTATATAAGGGTTATACCAAAACGTGGCCCAACCAATATTCTCTTGGGGGTTACAAATTCAATAGAAAACAACATTTTTTTTCTGACCACCAATTAGATGTGAAAGTGGACTTGGGAATACGCCAATGTGGGGACTTTACTTAAATAAATTCCTATGTGGCAATTATCTGTATGATGGTTCCCTACCCCAGAGTAGCATAAATACAACCTTTAGCCAAGTCAATTAATGAATGTGGTCAAGACCAAAATGGGCCCTACTCTGAAAATTTCAAACTTTATGCGAAGAGGTTCTCTACCTCCTTAGAAACAAAAATGCCATATAATGGCTAAAATATTAAAAAAGTGACCAAGACACCAAAAATAGCTTAAATCATACGATGGTTATATAAATATGAAATCGGGTTGTCCCTTATCCGTGAGTTATGATCGATATCATGACCTATCTTGAATGTTTGGGAAGAATTTCTGGAAGGATAGAAATCTTTATCTTACTAAAAGTCCCATTCGCTCTACTATTTTCCACCCTTTATATTTGGTATTTTTCTGATTGTACATTGGACGGATTATTGTGACAGGAAAGAAGTAGTTCCACGCTTTGAAATGATCCCCATTAGGCTTTTTCGGCAATTTTTGTTTGTTCAAATGTGTTCGCATCTTCCAGCTGAACCACGATGTCGGCCCTGGAGTTGAAAGGTAGATGTCAGTTGACATCGTATTTCCCACTTATTTCATTTTTTGGTGAAAATTTGTATATAGTGAAAAATTATTCTTTATTTTGTTCGCAAAAAATTTACTGAATTCAATTAGATAATACAAATTGAAAAAAAAATTGACAAAAGAAGAATAACACATTGAAAATTCTTCAACTTGTTCGCTGATTTTTTTACAGCAAATGTTTAAAGATCCTTATATAGTTTGTCAATAGAATGTACTTCTATTTTAAAATTCGATTCCATTAAATTATTTCGACATCATCTATTCCGTTTCGTCACCACATAATTCGGTACTACGCTTCCATGTAACTCGCCATCAATTTCATTTCTCAAGAAATCAAGTCAATTAAATAAATTGGTATTAATATTTGAATTCAAAAAAAAAATATATATATAAAAAACACTACAAATGTACATTAGAAAAAAGTAAGTAAAAATGGAAAAAAATCATGCAAAATAAAACATTACTATTGTACATTTCAAAAGTCAAAATGAAAATGTTAAAATATCACATTTTTACGCGATTTTTTTGGATATTATCCTTTTCGGAGAGGAGAAAATTCCGAATTTGTTTGAATCGTTAAAATCAGTCCAGCGGTTCTTAAGTTATAAGCGTAGTAACTAACACAACTTTCTTTTATATATATAGATATATTCGTAAATAAAATTTTGAATGCATATTAAATCAAAAGGGGTAGCGAAGCGCTCCGGGTTCAGCTAGTTCTATATAATATAGGTTTTTAACACTCAATTAAAGCCTATGGCTGAAAAGTAAGATCAGCCTATTCAAATTATCTAAAACCGACGGTGGGTGATTATCTATTATAGTTTTTGCCATGAATGTTTATTTCTGTTTAGAAATTACTATGGAGTTATTTTACTTATAATAAAAATTGTGCCGCTTACATATTTCAGATCTGTGTTCTTATAGGCTTTAAAAAATATGCATTAAAGACTAAAAGTACGGGCCGGAAACGCGGACCGCGCCAGCTAGTTGTAAATAACTTTAAGACATTTTTGTACAAGTTTTCGTTCTTCAATGAGGAATGGTATTTAAAGCAACTAACATTACAACATTTTCATTATATTATTTCCACGTGCTATAGAATCAAGTTTTGGAACCGGCCGAAAGCTTCTTAAGGTAAGGTCACATTGAGCAAATATTTGACACAAATATGTTTTATCATATTTTCCCAAAAAAATGTTGTTTTCATACAGAGTAGATTTTGTGTTCACATTGCTCACATTTATTTGACAAATTTTGTTTTTATTCTGTACGCACTGTACGCATTCGTGTGGTTGGTTTAATGTCCAATAAAGTAAACTGAGTGCGAAACTTTGTCACAATCGCATTAATTGTTTGCTCACTTGGTCGATTATGTAGACCATAAATCGGACATAAAGCGCGAAACACATTTCGAACCGAACACTGATTTTGGTAATAAAATTCAATGATTTCCAAGCGTTGCTCGTTAGTAAGTCTATTCATGATGAAATGTCAAAGCATACTGAGCATCTTTCTCTTTGACACCATGTCTGAAATCCCACGTGATCTGTCAAATACTAATGCATGAAAATCCTAACCTCAAAAAAATCACCCTTTATAATGAAGCATGGACATTTTTATACCCCATATCGAGTGTTCAGAGATTTTTCAAAAAGTACTGGTACAAAAATACAATTTTACTTGTATTGCTCCGGAACCGGTTCCAACAGCCCCATCATACGACCCATTTTGTTAACCTCTAAACTCGCCTTATGCCACGAATACTTACAATTACTTTCTGAATCAATTTCTATTAATAGGTTTAAAATTGTGTCTTTCGTCTGAGCCTCTATATTTCGTCCTACAAACTTCATGACATTAAAAAATCTCCATTTAGGTGGTTCAATTGCGCCTTGTCCCGACTTTGTTTTGGACCTGGCCTGTATCGTCAAGTTTGTCCACTTTGCGGTGAGATCTGCAGGGGTATATTTATCATCAAATTGTTCGGAAATGTGCCGCCATGCGTTGTCGCGGAGTATTTTGTTGTGGTATCCATCACATCCCGCATTCCACAGACAATTTTGTTCCTCCACTAGAGCAATGAGTTTAAAAATATCTTCCTCTGCCCACTCCTTTGCAACCTTTGGCTTTCCCCGAGATTTCTTCTGCTGCACTTCATATTCCATTTCCATTTTATTTATTCGTTTTTTTAGAATTACTTCTCACTTTAACTTTCAATTATTCCTTTTTGTAGGTAAACGTTTATCTGCACAGCTGTTTTACATGTCAATGTTGTCAATGTCGTATTTGAAATAAAAACGCTTTTAGCGATCAACGTCTCTTGGGATTTTAATATGCAACTTTTCAGTGGTAAATCGAATAATTTTGGTTTTAATTGGTAACATTCCATTTGTAATTCGAGAAATAATTTGTAATTCAAATTATTGCGTTTATAATTCGAATATGTCTAGTTGAATTGAATTTCAATCCAGTTGTAAATTGAGAATTCTATTTGTAATTCGAATAATTCCATTTGCAGTTCGAATAAAACTAAATAGAATTGCAGTTGGAATTCTCAATTTAAAAAAGGAAATTATTTGAATTACAGACATATTTCTCAACTTACAAATAAAATGTTACGAATTAAAACTAAAATAATTCGCTTTACAACTGAATGTATGTTGTTTTTATCTGCAATGCATTTGCGGTATTAATATAATAATATAATGTGTAAATATCAAATTGCTTGAGAAAAGTGATTCTCAGATTTAAATATAAAAAGCTGACAACAGTGATGCAACAGCTGTTATTTCTCACTGTTTTCTCATACAAAACCATTGCAAGGTCAATAAATATTTACTCTAAATAGAGGAAAATATTTGATTACAGGTGTTCACATTGTGGCCACATTGATCAAAATTTTCTTTGCAGGCAAATAACTTTGTTTTCTCGAAATCAGCTGTTTTTGTGTTTGCCCTACAAAAATATTTTGTGGTCAGATTGTGGCAAAGAAATATTTGAACTTTTTCGTCAAATATTTGCCCAATGTGACCTTACCTTTAGAAGAATTATCAATTTTGAGGGTGCGAAGAATATGTGGCGACATAAATCACTTTTAACACCTTTCTATGACGGAGTTCGATAGTTTTCATTCTTTGTATTGATTGGTTGTTTGGTTAACTATTTTTGTTAAACGCTTAAATTGGTCATCGGACATTTATTCAAAGAAGACCCAAAAGTACGTGCGAACATAATGACAAATAGCAAATTCTTAAATCATTATGCGATTGCTCGAACACTGACCATGATTATTAAAGTTTTATAATCTATATATATTTTTTTATTTAAAATTTAAAGTTGAGATATTTATTTCAAGAAAATAAAACAAAATAGTAAGACGAGACATATTGACGTCAAATTTTCAAATCCAAACCTTTTCGATTCAATAATGTGTTCATATCTACATATTTACAGGCGACAACACCCATACACACATCTTGCCGGTAGTAATAATAAAATTCAACTCGCGCCCAATATCATCATTTATAGCTACAAAACACTTTTAATTAGAAATTATGATTAAGGCCCAACTATGACTAAATAAAAACATTAAAAAAATAAAGAAAATGTTGTTTGTGGATTGTGGCATCCCCAAATATGGCGCCCAACTAACACGTCATATTTATTGCTGGAAGAATTTTTTCGTTTTAAATTTTTAACAATTGAATTTTTTTCTCTTGCTCAAAGAGACATGCCAGTTAGTCTGTTAACAATGGTGATCGATGGTGTTTGAATGAAGCTAAAGACAATAATTGAATTTAAAACGAAAAGAAGAACACAATTTTCAACTCGCTTGACAAGTAGTACAAACCGCCGAGAAAAAAGTGAAAAGAAAGACAAATAAAGCAATTTTAAAAATATTTTTGTAAAAATATATAAAATGGGATTTTGGAATGTAAAGTTGTTTGGCACAGCAGTTGCTGGTCTCATAACTGCTTTCTGCACGGCTGGTATTTTGAGATGGGGAGTTCTAGTCTATAAATGTAACGAATCCAAATCCTGGCAAACATTCTCAGGTAAGTGATTTCATGATGAATCGATGACCCAATTTGAATTATTTGTTGGAAAGATTAAGTGTATGTACTGCAGAGATGGTCAATTTTAAGGTATTTTAGGTTTTTAACTGTCGAAAAGTTGTAAGCGTCGAAAACGTCATATACCTGTATAAAACGTCATAAAATTCTATTGTATTGTGATATCCCACATAATACATCCCAAGTTGGTTGATAAACTCTTATAAACTTATTAATTGGAGAGGCGGCTGAGTATCACACTCGCGTTAAAAAAATAAATTGTTAAAATTATAAACCAAAATGTGTTATTTAAATAAATGTTAACAAGAAACTGAGTTTTGTTTTTATAACTGACAATATTTTGAAAATTGAAAATTTTTAACATCGACGCCTGAAATCTTAAATATGAAGCGATATTTTTTTGCAATTTTTTTTTTTTTTCATTTGATATTTGTCACCTTTGTTAAAGTTTTCATTTCAGATTTTTATAGAACAAGAATTCAGCACCTGTATATTGTTGTTGCAAATTAGCCAGGCATAAGACTATTTATTGTTTGTCGCTCTAGTTTTACTCCCTGCTACCAAACAAAAGGCTGTATGGAGCAATTTCTCAGATGACAGATATACGAGAATTAACTATTATGCTTGATTAATATTCGTCACCGTGTGTCTGCCAAAAACTTATATTATTTGTCAAGACTTACGATTTTGTTGACGTATGTATGTTACGTCGAAACAAGTATACGTCACGGTTTCTGACACACCATCTACGATACACTATAAGCTCATATTTGGAGTGGTATTATCAATGAATTTTAGTACAATATTTTCATTGGCGATGCAGATAGCCACTCATACCTTAAATTAATTAAAGTATCGGTCACAATTATAGTTTCAATCGGGTAGCAATAAACAGACCTCAATTAAAGATCGAATCCAAAAAACTCCGATTAAAAACAGTAAAGGAAGGTACTTAATCGGGCTGACCGACTTTATGATACACTACACCACTATGCATATGTAGTAGAGCTACCCGTAATAAATAAACGTTTATATATGGAATTTATGTGAATCAGATCAAAACAACCGAATGGTTTTTGAATGCTTATTATGGCTTAAGGCCTCTTACAATTTGAAGTCGAATGGAACATACAAATGGAAGACATATTCTACTCTGAATCGATTTTCGCTACATTTGAAGGGGACATTTGTGTCTGAACCGATTTTCACCATAATCCATCGTATTTGAGCTGATATTAGACTTTTTAAGCACAGTAAATGTGAAATCGGCTGAAGATATATGGAAGTTATATCCAAATCTGAACTAATTTTTGTAAAGTTAAGCCGAGATATTTTTATGCTGTATCCGATAGCTGGTACCACATATCGTAGTTGTAGAGTGCATTTTAGGGGTTTGGGTATATTAACTTTGTCAATCCGTTTGTTACACCTCGAAATATACACTTTAGACCCTACAAAGTATGCGAATTCTTGATCAGCATACAATTCTATGTCGATTTAGCGATGTCCGTCTGTCTGTGGAAATCACCCTGGCTTCCGAAAGAAACGAAGTAGGTTCATAAAATTTTACTCAAATGTATATTATGTGTGCAGGACTTTTGGTATTGAAAATGGGCCATGTAGGCCCACGTCTTCGTATAGCCCGCTATTCGGAGTTTTAATGACTTTAGCGACTTTATTCATCGGAATTGTATCAAATTTGGTACTTGAAGTTCTGTGCAGCTCCACGTCTCCTGATTTTCGGTATTTTGATGATTTTAGCGATATTATTCACCGAAATTGTTATAAAGTGATGTTTGAAGCGCCTTATGAATTCTACAGCCTATGACAGAAATTAGTCTGTGTAGGTTCACGTTTTGGTATAGCTCCCATATAATAGTACCTCCCTTTATTCGGTATTTTGATGATTTTATCGACATTATTCACCGGAATTGTGTCAAATTTGGATTTTGAAGTTCGTATTGGATGCTACAGCCTATGACAGAAAATTGTCTGTGCAGGTCCAAGTCTTCGTATAGCCCCCATATAACGGTAACTCCCTATATTCGGCATTTTGATGATTTTAGCTATATTATTCACCGACTTTCTTAAGTTTCGCATTTGAATATTGTGATGGCTTATGACAAAATTATGCAGGTCCATGTTCAATAGAAAACTCAATATTAAATTTGAGGACTCCAGCCCCATTCCCTCAACCAATACCAAATTTAGTACCAACTAGTACTTTTTGTACAAGTATAGATTGCTTTTTCAAACCATCGTCAAATCTAAGTAATCTAAATATCAAATTACGCTATTTTATTTCTATCCCTTCTTCCAATACTAAATATAGTACCATTCAGTACTTTTTTTTTACAATTATAGTATACATTTACGAAACTACTCCCATATGTCTAGAGTACACATGAACAGTGACCCTAATGCCTAATTTAAGATTCGAAGCACTATCTGTTCACCCAATACTACATTGTACCAAATATAGTTCTATTGAGTACTTTTCGCGCACATGTAGCACACGTTCCCAAAATCCCCTTTTTATTACAAACCTACCATCAACAGCTACTCCAATACAAAATTTCAAAATTTCGGCTTTATCCGTTCATCCTAAACCACACTGTTCCAAATTTAGTACCATTTAGTACAGTTCGCACACTTAGTACACCTTTCCGAACCGTCTTCGTATATCAATCTTACTTTCCAGCATTGATTCTCATGCCAAATTTCACTTAAGAACTTTTCGTAACTTTAAAGTTCGAATTTCCATAAAACCAATACAAAGTATTAATTTTTTTGTACACTATTGAATTTTCAAAGAGGCTGCCTTATGACATGCCTATGCCCCAAGGCTGACCCTCACGCTATATTCTAATTCCAGTTTTGGAAAATCGTACTACATGTGAGGGAAATATGGTATGTGATGGCTGAATGTATAAATATTACCATACCTCAATTTTAAGTCGTGAGAAATGTTTAAAGTTTTAAACACCATTTACAGTCATTAACACTACAGGGTAAGATGAAAAAACTGCAACCAACTTCAGACTGCTGTCATTACTAAGCCACTCGTCCGACAGCTGTTAATATCATTCCAGTGGCAGCTCATTATATTGTATTGTAGAATTTTCCACAAGCGTGGGAGTTCAAGCGTGATAGTGTGATTTATTTATATTTGGCTGGAAAACCTCAAGTGGCTATCGTTAGAGCACTCCAGAATTTAAATGTGCATAAATCTTTTGTGTCTCGTACCATCGCTCGTTACCATGATACTGGTAGCTTAGCCCGACGTCGAGGAATTGATCGAAACCCGCGTCGCAGTGGGCGAATATGGCTCGTGAGCTGAACATATCACAATATTCCATTCGGCAAATATTGAAAAATGAGATCGATCGAAAAATGAGTTGCTTCGGTTGGCCGAAAGTGGTGAACTGCCGAATTTGGTTTTCTCCCGTAAGAAGCAGCATCGGCAGTTTGTAAACAAACAAAACGATCGTGTTTACTTGCCAAAGAGGTCAGCTAAAAATGTGCACCTTCGGTTGGCCACCAGAACTCAAGAGGGCATTGTGATAACAGCCGATGGTCGCTCTCCGCTCGTGTTAATCGACCGCGGCAGAATAAATGCGGAATATTATCGCGAAATATTCTGGAGGGTGTATAAAAGCCTTGGACACGGAAAGATCTTAGCCGTAGATCTTCGACATTCCCACAGGATTCAGCACCATCGCATTCAACACGTACCACCCAAGAATAGTTACAAAATGAGGTTCCTCGCTTCATTTCCAGAGCAAAATAGCCACCAAAATCTCCGGATACAAACCGTCGGACTATTGTGTCTGAAGTATTTTGGAAAGCAATGTTGGCACTAAAAAATACCAAATTATCGATCACCTCAAGCAAGCGCTTCGCCGGAAATGGGTCTTTTGGCCGCAGAGCAACATTTACTGGCCGTTTGAAGGCCATAATTCGTGACAAGGTGAACAATTCGAACAATGTAAATTTACTCTAAAATTTGATGCTATTTCCGACATTTTTTGCTTTCATTCAATAACATTTAAAAAAAATTTAAAAATTATGACGTTTGAATTTGTTCCAGTTTTTTTTATCTCACCCTGTACTCTGAGAGTTAACGAAACAAAACTCATATAAATTACTTTTCAAAGTATGACCTTTAGAAATCGTCTACACCAAAATCAAATTTGGGCATAAATTTCCGCCCATTTACTTCATCTAGCTCATCTAAGAGGAATAGTTTTTTTAGTTTGTAGTTGTAATCTTAAAATTTAATTTTGTATTTACAGACTGGGTTTTTAACGTTTACAATATAGCTCTGGGTGGTGGATGGTTTATTAATCGAAGAAAAAATGGTAAGCTCAAGATTCTCTTAATTTCATCATAATGATTACTCAATTTGATTTTAATAAACTAACTTGTTCAAATTTCAGAAGATAATTCGGAATTAATAGCCCCACTCTCCTTTGCATTTGCTTTGTTAACTTCAATTGGTTTGATTGCTTCGCTGATGTTTATTTGTGGATTGCGTCGGGTAAGTAGTGGTGGACAATCACACATACGCAATTTTAAAAATTATTACCATATTTCTCATCTACGTTTAGAATCGCCTGAAATTAGTAGCTCCATTAGTCTACTTGACTGCTGCCGGCATAGTTTTCACAGCCATCACAGCTTTGTGCTCGTATACCGCGAATTTAATGATTGTCCCAACTGTTGTCCATGCTGCTTTAGAATTTCTAATACATTGTGTGATCATAGGTAATTATTCGAAAATTTTTAATCGGAATGTATAATAATTAAATTTTTTGTTCCATATTTTTAGGCTTGGAAATAATTGTATTCTCACCTTTGTATTTGGTATATCGACAAATGCGTATTCCCAATCTACACCACGATCATTATTTGTTGAGAACGAATGAGCCTGTTTTGAAATCGACATCGGTCTACCGTGGATCCATTTAAGCTAGTTTTATTTCTAACATTATTGTAGAATTAAAATTTAGTGTAAAATTATATTTTTCATTGAAAATATATAAACGAATTTTGAACTATTGTACAAGAAAACCAGCATTGAATGGTAACGCATAATATCTAATAACGCAGAAAAAATATTAAACTTTTAATACGCCACTCCACCATTTTGGAGGAACTTTAAAAATTTCCAAAAAAAATCCATCGAAAAAACCGATCAAAAGAAAACCCGCTTATAGGGGCTTTACGAAGTAATTATTCTCATAGCCAGTAGTACCCATTACGAACTTGAAATACGGAATTTGAAACAATTCCGGCAAAAAAATCAGTAATATCGTCAAAACCCCAAATAACGGAAGGTGACGTTATATGTGGGCTAAATGAAGACGTGGGCCTACATAGGACCGTAGGTGGTAGCACCCATTAAAAGCTACAAATACGAAATTTGAAACAATTCCATTGAAAAATGAGGCTAACATTGTGAAAAAATCGAATATCGGGAATCATCAAAATACGTATTTTTTTGTCATGGGCTGTAATGCCCATTACGAACTTTAACACGAAATTTGAAACAATTCCGTTAAAAAATGTGGCTAAAATAATGAAAATACCAAATATAGGGGGTTCCGTTGTATGGGGATATACGATATCGTAGACCAATACAGTCCATCATCGAACTTGGGGATCGTAGTTTTCGAAGCTTCCTACCTTAATTCGTTTTGCCTCTATGTAGCGTAGTTACAAAAGACGGACGGACAGGGCTAAATTAGAATTTTACGCTGATCATGAATATATATACTTTGTTATGTCTATTATTATTATTTCGTTGAGTTACAAACGGAATGACGAACATATTACACCCTCCATACTATGTATGGCGGAGGGTATACAAAATGAGGGAGGGGACTACAGAAAACAAATTATTTATTGATTTGTTACTAGCTGGCCCGGTCCGCGTTGCCGGCCCGTACTTTTGGTCTTTAATGCATATTTTTATACCCTACAACACTAATTTTGATTGGGCCAAAAATTATGTAACACCTCGAAATATTCGTTTCCCACATAGGAAAGTATATATGGATCTTCCTATCTCGCTGAGATGAGTCGATCTAGCTTTGTATGTCCGTCTATCCATGTTAATTTGTAATCAAGCTACAGATCGCAATTATGAACCGATCCTCACGAAATTGAAATTGGAAGTGGGGTTATGGTCAAAATAGAACCCTATTGTTTTTGGTGATCATTGCACGATATTTAGGGGTCGAAATGGACCAATATATATGAGCTACAATTATGAACCAATCGAAGCGAGAATTTACATGGAGTTAGAGATTAGGAACGGGCAGAATTATTAATAATTAGCGAGTAAAATAGACGCTAACTTTTATGTAAGAAAATAGAAAAATGTTCACTAAACCGCGAATATTTTCAATCCCAGCCAAATCACAAATACATTAAAAGATCACTTCTGACCATTACTGTGATGCTAATAGCCAAGAAATCGGATATGTAGCAAAATAGGTACAATATATATGTAAAATAATTGAATTGAATTTATTCTGCTTATAAATCAAGAACCGCTGGGCCGATTTTCACAATTCCCATCAATTCGGAATGGTCTCTTGCCAGAAAACGATAAATTATAAGAAAATAGCGGAAAAATATACCAATAAAAAAATGAATATCTTTTCTCGAATTTTGTCGAATTTTTGTCATATTTTTTATCGCTTGTGATTTTTTTCAATTTGACTTACAATTTTGAATTGTAAATTTTCTAAATTTTTACACCATCCAACACTACATTTTGAGGGTATTATATGCATATCGCAATTATCGTCCGATCCTCACGAAATTTTACATGGGGGTAGGGTTAGGGTCAGAATTAAAGCCTATTGTTCTTAAGATGTACATTTAGAGGTGCAAATGGACTAAAAAAATTATTTTTTCTATTTTTGTAGTCGCTTCATAGGCCACAATTGAAAACTAATCCACACGGAATTTCGCATCAGAAGAGAGTTAAGGACAGGGAAGAAGTCTAGCATTTCGATGACCATTGGATAATATATAGCTGTAAAATGGACCACAACTTTCGTGTGAAATTGCTTTGAATACTTACAAAGCTACGGAGTGCGTAAATATTGGCCAAATTCTCCGGGCCAAGAAATTAAGGGTAACCTCTGGGCGGGGCTCTTTGGCATTATTTCAAAAACGAAATCTTCCTAAATGGATTTGGATATAAGGGGACTTCGAACATATTGTAGTGTTGTAGGGTATCACATGGTCGACCCCCGCACGAATATAGCCTTTGCTTACTTGCCTTTTTTTAAATTCGAGAAATTTCTAAACTAATATCGATAATTAGTTTTCTTTGGTTCGGAGTAGTATTATTAATGACCGTCTATCTATAAGAACCGTATAGGTCCATACATTTTTTAAGGATCGATTTTTAAACCCAACAACACTGTGTTGGGGGTATTATAAGTTTGATTGTTCCAAAAATTATATAACACCTCAAAGTATTGATCTAAGACATAGGAAACTATATATGTATCTTACTATATCGTCGAGCTAAGTCGATCTAGCTATGAATGTCCTTTCGTCCTGTTTTGGGGGTATTATAATTTTAATTGGCCCAAAAATAATATAACAACTGGAAATATTGGTCTAAGACATAGAAAACTATATATGTATTTTTCTATCTCGTAGAGTTAAGTCGAACAAGCTATGTATGTCCATCCGGCCGTCTGTCCATGTTAATTTGTAATCACGCTGCAGGTCAATATTATTGCCAATCCTCTCGATATTGAGCACGAAGGTGGGGTTAGTGACAGTTGTTTTCGGAGATTATCGCAAAATACATGCTCTACATGCTCTACGAGGCCACAAATATAGACCAATCGAATCAAATCGGAATTTTGCTCGGGTTAGAGTTTAGACGCTTTCCAATTTGTACGGTCATCGGACAATATTTAGCAGATAAAATAGATCATAACTTAAAACGGTTAAATAGACCATAACTTATTAAAAATATACGTAAATTTCCAAAAAAAACCGCGAATATTTTTAATCCCAACGAAATCGCAGTAACATTAAAAGGTCACAACTAACCATTACAGTGATGCTGATAGCGAAGATATCGGATATATAAAATCTACAGGGTGAGATGAAAAAATTGCAACCAACTTCAGACAGCTGTCATTTCTAAGCCACTCGTCCGACAGCTGTTAAAATTATTCCAGTAACAGCTCATTATATTGTTTACAAGCGAACAAAATCATTTTGGTAAGAATTTTCCAGAAAAAAAGTTATTCGTGATGGAATTCAAGCGTGATAGTGTTTCTTTATATTTGGCTGGAATACCACAAGTGGCTATTGTTCGAGCACTCCAGCATTTAAATGTGAATAAATCTTTTGCGTCTCGTAACATCGCTCGTTACCGGTTACCGTGATACTGGTAGCGTAGCCCGACGTCAATGAAGTGGACAGAAGAAAACAGCAACATCAGAAAAATGGCTCGTGAGCTGAACATATCGCAATATTCCATTCCGCAAATATTGAAAAATGAGCTCGGGATAAAGCCATTAAAATTGCAAAAAGTGCAAGAACTTACACCTCAACAGAACGAAAATAGACTTAAAAGAGCTAAAGAGTTGCTTGTCTTGCCCGAAAGTGTTTGGTTTTCTCCAATTAGAAAACATTTGTTGTCCAGCAGTTGTAAACAAACAAAATGATCGTGTTTACTAGCCAAAGAGGTCAGCTGAAAATGTGCACCTTCGGTTGGCCACCAGAACTCAAGCACCGGCCATTGTGATGGTGTGGGCTGCCATAACAGCCGATGGTCGCTCTCCGCTCCTATTAATCGACCGTGGCATCAGAATAAATGCCGAATGTTATCGCGAAAATATTCTGGAGGGTGTATTAAAGCCTTGGGCATGCAAACATTTTGGCCTCTGACCTTGGACATTCTCTTGAACAGGACTCTGCACGCGCCACCCATGGTTACAAAATGAGGTTTCTCGCTTCATTTCCAGCGCACAATAGCCACCAAAATCTCCGGATAGCAATCCGTTGGACTATTGTGTCTGGAGTGGTTCGGAAAGCAAAGTTGGCACTAAAAAATATCAAAGTTTCGTTCACCTCAAGCAAGTGCTTCGCCGGGAATGGGCCAAAGTACCACAAAGCAGCATTCGGGCAGAGTGTGACGGTTTCATATGCCGTTTGAAGGCTATAATTCGCGCCAAAGGTGACCAATTCGAACAAATCTAAAATTATTTTAAAATTTGATGCTGTTTCCGACATTTTTTGCTTTCATTTAATAAAATTTAAGAAAAAAATGTAAAATTTATGGCGTTTGACTTTGTTGCAGTTTTTTCATCTCACCCTGTATGATATTCAAAGTAGGTAGAATATTTGGAAAAGGCTCTATTTTTGAATACTTTGAGGGTCAGAGTCATATATGTCAACTGAAAAGACTTGTACTTTTATATATTTTGACATGCCTTAAATATTAGATTTTGTAAGACAATTGATTTCCCAATGATTTAAGTTTTCACATGACGAAGGTTACAAAGTCTGGCCGTTTTCATTAACCCATAGCTGGCCAATAATCTATTTCATACGTTTAAAGCATTCTGAGATATTTCAAACTAACTTAAGAAATCAGAATGTTTGAAATTGAACATCGACCACTATCTTACTTGTTCCTAAAGGCTTCATAAGACCTCGTGTCCCCTCTCATTGATATTTCAGGTTTGTCTCGAGATAAATAGTGATAGATAGGGCATATATTAGCCCCTGGCAGACAAGTAATGTATTATTTTTATACCCTCCACCATAGTATGGAGGGTATATTAAGTTTGTCACTCCGTTTGTAACACCTCGACATATACATTTTAGACCCCACAAAGTATATATGTTCTTGATTAGCATACAATTCTATGACTTTGGAAATTACTCTAGCTTCCGAACGAATTATGTCAGCAGAACTTTTGGTACTGAAAATGGACCATGTAGGTATAGCCCCCATATAACGGTATCTCCCGATATTCGATACTTTGTTTATTTTAGCGACATTATTCACCGGAATTCTTTCCAGTTTGGTATTTGATGTTCATAGTGGGTGCTACAGCCTATGAGATTGTCTGTGGGGGTCCACGTCTTCGTATAGCCCCCATATAACGGTAACTCCCGATATATGGCATTTTGATGATTTTAGCGGCATTATTTACCGGAATTGTTTCAAATTTGGTATTTAAAGTTCGTAATGGATACTACAGCCTAAGACAGAAAATTGTCTATGCAGGTCCATGTCTTCGTATAGCCCCCATATAACGGTACCTTCCGATATTCAGTATTTTCATGATTTTAGCTACATAATTCACCGTTTTTTGTTAAGATTCGCATTTGAATATTGTAATGGCTTATGAAAAAGTTACCTTTGCAGGTCCATGTCGCCGTATAGGCACTAACATAACAGCTACATTCGGTATTTTTAAGATTTTAAAAGAATTTTTAACGGTTTTTATTGTTTTTGAGAATTGCTAAATTCGTTGCAAATTGCCGAAAAGCCGAACTTACAGCTTTTTTACTTGTTTAATAACCATTAATTATGTATGGTAAAGTGGATGTAATTTCAGTTAATTTATGAATTGCAAATTGTTTACAATTTCTTTTTGTCGAAGCCATGGATTTTTTGCATAGTTTTCAAACTTTCGTGGTTTAACCTATAGGAGAAAGAGGGTGTGTTGTTATTATCAGAATGCGCATCTAATTTCAATAAATTTATCTTTAACATTGTCTTTTGCAAAAAAAAAGCAAACAACGAATACGACAAATATTTTTGGCAGTTAATGTTGGTTAAAGGAGTGGTAAAGAACAAAGGACATAGAGAGAAAACATATAAAAAATAATCAACATCTCACACCCACTGCGAGCAGGGCTGGTCACAAAGCTTTAAGGAGCCTCGGTGTGTGTTTGATTTGTTTCCTTGTTATAGTTGTTAATTCAAGGGGCCCTCAGATACGCAAAATGAAAATTCCAATACGCCAAACTTTTTTCTCCTCCATTTTGTATCATCGTTATTAAGATATTTTATAGCGCCATGGTTAAATTTAATAGAAATCAAAGTTTAGTCTGTTTGTGGATTTGGCTAAAAACGGTTGTCGTCATTGCGTTGAGAATCAAGGAAAATTAGAGCGGAAAATAAAAGGAAAACCTTGTCAACAATGAATCGCAAATTACGTTTTTGGAATGCCCGGGTTTTGAGTTATTTTGTGGCCTCCCTGAGCGGTGTAGCTTTTTTGGTGGCTGGCATATTAATTTTATTAAATCGTTGGCAAAACAAAAAAGGAGGTTGGTGATGTTTTTCTAATTTCCTGAAAAATGTGATACCCTAATTTAATTCTGTATGTTTTTTTTTTCTCCAGAGATGACCGACAGATCTATGCTGCAGGCAATATTTGCTATACACATATTTAGTGCTGTGGCATTTTGTTTATCCTTGGTTTTCCTGAAGGGACTATACCAGGTGAGTGCTTTGTTTTTATGAGCACAAAAATCGAATGCTTCTTCTCACATATTATTAGAATATATTATGTTTCATCTTTCAACCCTGCATAGGAAGATGAAGCATTCGATTTTTGTTTATCCTAAGTTCACCTGGGTGGAAAATGAAAATTCCCAATTTTCCTTAATTGTATTTTTTTTTTCAGAATCGTATTGCTCTGATGAGACCCTATGTGTATCTACTCTCGGCTTGCCTATTGTTTGCTTTCATAACCATTATTTGCATTTACACGGCCGATTTGGTGAAGGAGCCAGCATATTTCAATGCCATATTATTTAACTTCTATTACTGCTTGGGATTAGGTATGTAATAAATAACTAAATAGAACAGCTTATATTTAAAACGTGTCCATTCATGCCACCAAAGTTCGAATAAAATAATAAGGTTTGTGTAATTTGCGTCATTTAACATGGTATTTCAACTAATATTTTTATACCTTCCATCATAGCATGGTGGGCATGTTAAGTTTGTAACACTTCGAGTTATACATTTTCGAACCCCACAAAGTATTCCTAATCAGCATAAAATTCTATTTCGATTTACCGATGTCCATCCATCAGTCTGCCAGTCTGTGGACATCAATCTAGCTCCCTAATAAAATGAAGTTGTTTGATAAAATCGTAGACAGATGTGTTTCGTTTGCAGGACTTTTGGTATAAGCCCCACGTTTTGCTATAAGCCCCATATAACAGCACGGACAAATTTAAGTTTTTGTTTTGGGTATTTCTATCGGAATTTAAAATTGAATTTGTTGTAAATTGGGAATATGTGCTTCCAGTATGTAGTAACACCCTTGCAGAGAACTATACAAATAGGTATAAGTTTTGGTATTGACATCATATAACACCAGATATTCGGTATTTTGAAGATTTTTTTAATAGTTTCACCGGAATTGTGGTATTTGCAATTCCTTTGACAGAAAATTTCCCATAAATAGAGACGTCTGCAGTCACGTCAAGTTCGAAGACAAGCCATATCGTCCAACATTTTCGATATTTTCACGATTTTAGCAACACTTTCTAAGTGAATAGTTTAAAATTCGGTATTTTCTAATGGGTTCTACCTCATGTGGGACACTATTGTCCATAACTAACTTTTTTAACAGAATTATCTTAAACTTGGTGGTTTTTGGTTCACTATAGCCTCCATATGACAAGTATTTAGTATTTTTATACCCTCTACCATACACAGTATGGAGGGTATATTAAGTTCGTCATTCCGTTTGTAACTCATCGAAATAATCATTTTAGACCCAACAAAGTATATATATTCTTGATTAGAGTAACATTCTAAGACGATTTAGCCCTGTCCGTCCGTCTGTCACGCTACAGTCTAAACGAATTAAGATAGGAAGCTAAAATTATCGGTCCAAGATATCGTATAGCCCCCATATAACGATACCCTAAATATTCGGTATTTTGATGATTTTACCCACATTTTTCAACGGAATTGTCTGAAAATGTGGGTACTTTATCCCTTGGAAAAGAATTATCTATATAGGTTCACGATATCGTGTATTCCCCATATAACGGTACCCACCGATATTCGGTATTTTGATTATTTTAGCCACATTTTTTAACGGAATTGTCTGAAATTTTACACAAGGAGTTCTATGTGAGTACTTTACTCCCTTAAGGAGAGTTGTCTATATAGATCCACGATATCGTATATCCCCCAAATAACGGTACCCTCCGATATTCGGTATTTTGATAATTTCAGCCACATTTTTCATTGAATTGTCTGAAATTCCACACAAGGGGTTCTTTGTGAGCACTTTACCCCCTGACAGAGAGTTCTCTATATAGGTTAACGATATCGTATAGCCCCCATATAACGGTACTCCAGATATTCGGTATTTTGATGATTTTAGCTATATTTTCCAATTGTATTGTCTGAAAATCCACAAAAGGAGTTCTTTGTGAGCACTTTAATCCCTGAAAGGGATTTGTCGATATAGGTCCACAATATCGTATATCCCCCATATAACGGTACCCCCGATATTCGGGATTTTCATTATTTTAGCCACATTTCCCAATAGAATTATCTGAAAATCCACACAAGGAGTTTCTTGAGAGTACTTTACCCCCAGACATAGGTTTGTCTACATAGGTCCACATTATCGTATACCCCCCCCCCCCCCCCATAAAGCGGCACCTTCCGATGTTAGGTATTTTTAAGATTTTAACAGAATTTTCAATGGATTTTATTTTTTTGAAAATTTTCTAATTCGTTCCAAATGGTGGAGGGTATTCAAAATTCGGCCCGGTCGAACTTACTAATTTTTTACTTGATTTTATTTTTAAATGTAAGTGTTTCCTATTTAGTATTTGATTTTCTCCAAACTACGTATTTACGTACGTAAATATTCCGTGTAGATCCACGGTTGTCTTTTTTAAATTTTTAGCCAAATTTTCTAACAGAATTGTTTCGTATAGTGATCTCTTCCTGTGTATTTCTATATAGGTCAAAATCTTTCTGTTGCTAATATCTTTTATATGTTCGACATTTTTATGATTTAACGCACATGTTTATGTAAGTTCTGAAATTTGGATGGTACGTTTTTAATTTCAGAAGCGACGCATAAACCTCGAACACAAGAATTTCGTCATTTATAAACGAATTTTTATAACAGTTACTTTCCAAATGTTCAGGGTAAAATTCTAAATCGACGCTATTTTTCGAAAGAATTGAGATAGAAGACTAAAATTTCCCACACATTTGTATTTTGTAGGGAGACTAAATTCGTAAATGGCCATGTCGGTCCACGTTTTCGTACCTTCTTATACTCGGTATTTTAACGATATAGATCGGTATTTTAACGATTTTAATCACATTTTCTAACGGAATTGTTTAAAATTCGGTACTTAGGTTTCGTAATGCGTTCTAAATTCTGTGACAGTTCATTCAACTTCGAACATTTGGTAGTTTTGTAAGTTTAGCAACATTTTTAAAAGTTATTTTTTAATTTGTTATCTGACACTTTGACCAACAGGTACCATCGACCTTACGGCATTTTTAAGACTTTGACTAACCAATTTCACTAGCAAAAATTGAAGTGGACCCAATATTCAATTTTATTTGTAATAGTTTTTTTACCTCAAAATTCAGCGAAACTTAACTTACTTGTTATACCCTCCATAATATATGTAGTAGGGAGGGTATATTAAGTTCGTCATTCCACTTGTACCTCATCGAAATAATAATTTTTAGAAGAATTAGGAAGCTTACATTTTGCACCTGTCAGTCTTTTGTGTGCAGGCAGGTCATGTTCGAAGTTGGGCTATATCGGTCCAATATATCGTATAGCACTCATATAACGGTATCCCCCCCCCCCCCCCCCCCATATTCGGTATTTTGATGATTTTAGCCACATTTTTCAATGGAATTGTCTGAAATTCTACACAATTCTCCACAATATCGTATATACCCCACATAACGATACCTCCCGATATTCGATATTTTGAAGATTTCAGCTACATTTTTCAATGGAATGGTCTCAAAATTCGCACATTCTGAGAACTTTTTCCCCCTTGGAAGAGAATTGTCTACATAGGTCCACGATATCGTGTACCTCCCACATAACGGTATTTTGATGTTTTTAGCGGCATTTTTGACCGGATTTTTTTCAAATTTCGTATTTGAAGCTTGTAATGAGTACAACAATCAATGACCGATAATTGTCTATGTAGGTCGACGTTATCATTTAGCCCTTTATTCGGTATTTTGATGATTTTAGCGACATTTTTGACCGGAATTGTTTCAAATTTCGTATTAAAAGTTTGAAGCTCGTAATGAGTACTACTATGACGAAAAACTGTGTATGAACATTCACTTCTTCGTATAGCTCCTATTTATCGGTTTTCATTTAAGTGCTATTTTTGGATTTTTTATTTGACGTAGAAAAATGTGGCTAAAATAATCAAAATACCGAATATTGGGAGGTGCCGTTATATGTGGGATATACGAAAACTTGGACCTATACATGCAATGTTCCGCCACTATAGCAAAAACCCAATAAGAAATTCAAATATCAAATTTTATGCGAATCCGTGGATAATGGACAAAAATCATCAAAATACCGAATATCGGGATGTACCGTTATATGGGACCTAGAAAACGTGGAAATATACATGCAATGTTCCTTCACCGGAGCTAGAACCCATTATGATCTACAAATACCAATTTTTCGATAAATCCGTGGAAAAATGTGGCAAAAATCATGAAAATACCCTATATCGGGAGGTACCGTTATATGGGGCTATACGATAATATGGATCTATACATACAATGTTCCGCCACCGGAGCTAGAGCCCATTATGATCTACAAATACCAATTTTTATACAAATCCGTGGAAAAAATGAATACAATGTTGCGTCACCAGAATGATAAAAATTTCCAGCCCTTTAAATCCCTACGAAAAATATCAGATATTATGGACTCTTCTGAAATAATAAAATCCAGAAAATTTTAAATTAATTTATTATAATAACTCTAAATTATTGTTTTAATTTCTTTTACATATTCTAGGCCTTCTCATCTTATTTCTATTGCCAATATTTTTGGTTTACCGGCAAATGTCGAAATCAATCGAAATAATCGAGAAGTTGGATGAAGCCACTGTTGCAGAAATCAAGCCAACTATAACAACACTATATTAATGGGAGGTGACAACAAGCTATAGCTATATTGGAAAATACCGAACATTACTGTTTAAAAACCATTCATCAATTATAATAATATATTTAAATTATTTCAGATATATAATCAATAAAGCAATAACAATGTTTTTATGAAAAAAATGAATTTTATGTGGCCAATTTTTCGAAAACAAGGGTAATTTTTATGTTGGAAACAGAAGAAAGTTGCTCATCAAAATGCTCACTGTCTCATCAAAAATGTATTGAATTCAATTTTTCTATTACCTAAAAACCTTGTCAACAATGAATCGCAAATTACGTTTTTGGAATGCCCGGGTTTTGAGTTATTTTGTGGCCTCCCTGAGCGGTGTAGCTTTTTTGGTGGCTGGCATATTAATTTTATTAAATCGTTGGCAAAACAAAAAAGGAGGTTGGTGATGTTTTTCTAATTTCCTGAAAAATGTGATACCCTAATTTAATTCTGTATGTTTTTTTTTTCTCCAGAGATGACCGACAGATCTATGCTGCAGGCAATATTTGCTATACACATATTTAGTGCTGTGGCATTTTGTTTATCCTTGGTTTTCCTGAAGGGACTATACCAGGTGAGTGCTTTGTTTTTATGAGCACAAAAATCGAATGCTTCTTCTCACATATTATTAGAATATATTATGTTTCATCTTTCAACCCTGCATAGGAAGATGAAGCATTCGATTTTTGTTTATCCTAAGTTCACCTGGGTGGAAAATGAAAATTCCCAATTTTCCTTAATTGTATTTTTTTTTCAGAATCGTATTGCTCTGATGAGACCCTATGTGTATCTACTCTCGGCTTGCCTATTGTTTGCTTTCATAACCATTATTTGCATTTACACGGCCGATTTGGTGAAGGAGCCAGCATATTTCAATGCCATATTATTTAACTTCTATTACTGCTTGGGATTAGGTATGTAATAAATAACTAAATAGAACAGCTTATATTTAAAACGTGTCCATTCATGCCACCAAAGTTCGAATAAAATAATAAGGTTTGTGTAATTTGCGTCATTTAACATGGTATTTCAACTAATATTTTTATACCTTCCATCATAGCATGGTGGGCATGTTAAGTTTGTAACACTTCGAGTTATACATTTTCGAACCCCACAAAGTATTCCTAATCAGCATAAAATTCTATTTCGATTTACCGATGTCCATCCATCAGTCTGCCAGTCTGTGGACATCAATCTAGCTCCCTAATAAAATGAAGTTGTTTGATAAAATCGTAGACAGATGTGTTTCGTTTGCAGGACTTTTGGTATAAGCCCCACGTTTTGCTATAAGCCCCATATAACAGCACGGACAAATTTAAGTTTTTGTTTTGGGTATTTCTATCGGAATTTAAAATTGAATTTGTTGTAAATTGGGAATATGTGCTTCCAGTATGTAGTAACACCCTTGCAGAGAACTATACAAATAGGTATAAGTTTTGGTATTGACATCATATAACACCAGATATTCGGTATTTTGAAGATTTTTTTAATAGTTTCACCGGAATTGTGGTATTTGCAATTCCTTTGACAGAAAATTTCCCATAAATAGAGACGTCTGCAGTCACGTCAAGTTCGAAGACAAGCCATATCGTCCAACATTTTCGATATTTTCACGATTTTAGCAACACTTTCTAAGTGAATAGTTTAAAATTCGGTATTTTCTAATGGGTTCTACCTCATGTGGGACACTATTGTCCATAACTAACTTTTTTAACAGAATTATCTTAAACTTGGTGGTTTTTGGTTCACTATAGCCTCCATATGACAAGTATTTAGTATTTTTATACCCTCTACCATACACAGTATGGAGGGTATATTAAGTTCGTCATTCCGTTTGTAACTCATCGAAATAATCATTTTAGACCCAACAAAGTATATATATTCTTGATTAGAGTAACATTCTAAGACGATTTAGCCCTGTCCGTCCGTCTGTCACGCTACAGTCTAAACGAATTAAGATAGGAAGCTAAAATTATCGGTCCAAGATATCGTATAGCCCCCATATAACGATACCCTAAATATTCGGTATTTTGATGATTTTACCCACATTTTTCAACGGAATTGTCTGAAAATGTGGGTACTTTATCCCTTGGAAAAGAATTATCTATATAGGTTCACGATATCGTGTATTCCCCATATAACGGTACCCACCGATATTCGGTATTTTGATTATTTTAGCCACATTTTTTAACGGAATTGTCTGAAATTTTACACAAGGAGTTCTATGTGAGTACTTTACTCCCTTAAGGAGAGTTGTCTATATAGATCCACGATATCGTATATCCCCCATATAACGGTACCCTCCGATATTCGGTATTTTGATAATTTCAGCCACATTTTTCATTGAATTGTCTGAAATTCCACACAAGGGGTTCTTTGTGAGCACTTTACCCCCTGACAGAGAGTTCTCTATATAGGTTAACGATATCGTATAGCCCCCATATAACGGTACTCCAGATATTCGGTATTTTGATGATTTTAGCTATATTTTCCAATTGTATTGTCTGAAAATCCACAAAAGGAGTTCTTTGTGAGCACTTTAATCCCTGAAAGGGATTTGTCGATATAGGTCCACAATATCGTATATCCCCCATATAACGGTACCCCCGATATTCGGGATTTTCATTATTTTAGCCACATTTCCCAATAGAATTATCTGAAAATCCACACAAGGAGTTTCTTGAGAGTACTTTACCCCCAGACATAGGTTTGTCTACATAGGTCCACATTATCGTATACCCCCCCCCCATAAAGCGGCACCTTCCGATGTTAGGTATTTTTAAGATTTTAACAGAATTTTCAATGGTTTTTATTTTTTTGAAAATTTTCTAATTCGTTCCAAATGGTGGAGGGTATTCAAAATTCGGCCCGGTCGAACTTACTAATTTTTTACTTGATTTTATTTTTAAATGTAAGTGTTTCCTATTTAGTATTTGATTTTCTCCAAACTACGTATTTACGTACGTAAATATTCCGTGTAGATCCACGGTTGTCTTTTTTAAATTTTTAGCCAAATTTTCTAACAGAATTGTTTCGTATAGTGATCTCTTCCTGTGTATTTCTATATAGGTCAAAATCTTTCTGTTGCTAATATCTTTTATATGTTCGACATTTTTATGATTTAACGCACATGTTTATGTAAGTTCTGAAATTTGGATGGTACGTTTTTAATTTCAGAAGCGACGCATAAACCTCGAACACAAGAATTTCGTCATTTATAAACGAATTTTTATAACAGTTACTTTCCAAATGTTCAGGGTAAAATTCTAAATCGACGCTATTTTTCGAAAGAATTGAGATAGAAGACTAAAATTTCCCACACATTTGTATTTTGTAGGGAGACTAAATTCGTAAATGGCCATGTCGGTCCACGTTTTCGTACCTTCTTATACTCGGTATTTTAACGATATAGATCGGTATTTTAACGATTTTAATCACATTTTCTAACGGAATTGTTTAAAATTCGGTACTTAGGTTTCGTAATGCGTTCTAAATTCTGTGACAGTTCATTCAACTTCGAACATTTGGTAGTTTTGTAAGTTTAGCAACATTTTTAAAAGTTATTTTTTAATTTGTTATCTGACACTTTGACCAACAGGTACCATCGACCTTACGGCATTTTTAAGACTTTGACTAACCAATTTCACTAGCAAAAATTGAAGTGGACCCAATATTCAATTTTATTTGTAATAGTTTTTTTACCTCAAAATTCAGCGAAACTTAACTTACTTGTTATACCCTCCATAATATATGTAGTAGGGAGGGTATATTAAGTTCGTCATTCCACTTGTACCTCATCGAAATAATAATTTTTAGAAGAATTAGGAAGCTTACATTTTGCACCTGTCAGTCTTTTGTGTGCAGGCAGGTCATGTTCGAAGTTGGGCTATATCGGTCCAATATATCGTATAGCACTCATATAACGGTATCCCCCCCCCCATATTCGGTATTTTGATGATTTTAGCCACATTTTTCAATGGAATTGTCTGAAATTCTACACAATTCTCCACAATATCGTATATACCCCACATAACGATACCTCCCGATATTCGATATTTTGAAGATTTCAGCTACATTTTTCAATGGAATGGTCTCAAAATTCGCACATTCTGAGAACTTTTTCCCCCTTGGAAGAGAATTGTCTACATAGGTCCACGATATCGTGTACCTCCCACATAACGGTATTTTGATGTTTTTAGCGGCATTTTTGACCGGATTTTTTTCAAATTTCGTATTTGAAGCTTGTAATGAGTACAACAATCAATGACCGATAATTGTCTATGTAGGTCGACGTTATCATTTAGCCCTTTATTCGGTATTTTGATGATTTTAGCGACATTTTTGACCGGAATTGTTTCAAATTTCGTATTAAAAGTTTGAAGCTCGTAATGAGTACTACTATGACGAAAAACTGTGTATGAACATTCACTTCTTCGTATAGCTCCTATTTATCGGTTTTCATTTAAGTGCTATTTTTGGATTTTTTATTTGACGTAGAAAAATGTGGCTAAAATAATCAAAATACCGAATATTGGGAGGTGCCGTTATATGTGGGATATACGAAAACTTGGACCTATACATGCAATGTTCCGCCACTATAGCAAAAACCCAATAAGAAATTCAAATATCAAATTTTATGCGAATCCGTGGATAATGGACAAAAATCATCAAAATACCGAATATCGGGATGTACCGTTATATGGGACCTAGAAAACGTGGAAATATACATGCAATGTTCCTTCACCGGAGCTAGAACCCATTATGATCTACAAATACCAATTTTTCGATAAATCCGTGGAAAAATGTGGCAAAAATCATGAAAATACCCTATATCGGGAGGTACCGTTATATGGGGCTATACGATAATATGGATCTATACATACAATGTTCCGCCACCGGAGCTAGAGCCCATTATGATCTACAAATACCAATTTTTATACAAATCCGTGGAAAAAAATGAATACAATGTTGCGTCACCAGAATGATAAAAATTTCCAGCCCTTTAAATCCCTACGAAAAATATCAGATATTATGGACTCTTCTGAAATAATAAAATCCAGAAAATTTTAAATTAATTTATTATAATAACTCTAAATTATTGTTTTAATTTCTTTTACATATTCTAGGCCTTCTCATCTTATTTCTATTGCCAATATTTTTGGTTTACCGGCAAATGTCGAAATCAATCGAAATAATCGAGAAGTTGGATGAAGCCACTGTTGCAGAAATCAAGCCAACTATAACAACACTATATTAATGGGAGGTGACAACAAGCTATAGCTATATTGGAAAATACCGAACATTACTGTTTAAAAACCATTCATCAATTATAATAATATATTTAAATTATTTCAGATATATAATCAATAAAGCAATAACAATGTTTTTATGAAAAAAATGAATTTTATGTGGCCAATTTTTCGAAAACAAGGGTAATTTTTATGTTGGAAACAGAAGAAAGTTGCTCATCAAAATGCTCACTGTCTCATCAAAAATGTATTGAATTCAATTTTTCTATTACCTAACTTTTTGGTGTGTACAAATCTGCATTTTTATGAACGCACATTTAACAGGAAATTTACATATTCGAAAAAAAATCTCGTTCTACTTCATTGATGTCTATCGGACACGCGTTCTTTGGATTACCAAACGGCTTATGGCCATTGCACGAGAACTCGTGTGATTCCGCTGTTAATATAATTCCATTGTTGGGTGGGTATTGGAATTTCCATTTCTTGTTCTCAATCATCCACAAATCACAGCCTCGGATTGATGTGCAATGCTGACTAGGCATAGTTGAAATGAAATCCAGTTCCTGTTTTGGCAAAAGTTGGTCCAAATTCAAGTCTCTTGAGGTAGCAACAAAGAATTGCATAAATAAGAGTGAGCAAGTGTCTTGACGACTACTTAGTTTGGGAATAACATTCGGGGAACACACGTTTCTGAAATTTTGAAATGTTGAAAAAAACATTTTTGGTGATATTTTTATTTGCCCACATAGCTTGGGCCCATCAGGAGACTGCTGCAACTTTAGATGATGAAATTGATCCAAATACATATTCCATGGCCGTGGTGGAACATGGAGATTTTACTGGAGTACGACCTCCTAGGGCGATCTTGAAACTGGCAGCGTTGGGTGCCCTAGCTGGAGGGGCTGCTCTAGTTGGAGGTGCAGCTTTGGCAGGTGGTGCTGCTTTGGGTGTTGGAGCTGCAGCTGTGGGCGCCGGAGTAGCAGGAGCCGCTATTGGCTCACTGAGTCGTGGTATTGGTGGTGGAGGCTTCGGTGGCGGCGGTTATGGGGGTTATGGCGGTGGTGGTTACGGAGGCTATGGTGGCTATGGAGGAGGACATGGAGGCTATGGTGGTTATGGCGGTGGTCATGGAGGCTATGGCGGTGGCCATGGAGGCTATGGTGGCAGCTATTCTGGAGTCTATGCAGGATCATATTCTGGTTCATATGGCGGTAACTATGGTGGCTGGGGTGGCAATGGAGGAGGATGGGGAGGCTATTGGAGATAATCATTACTTTTTAATTATTTATTTAATAAATGTTATTGTTGTTTTAAATTAATTAATTGCAACGTGTGCTTAGTTAATTTTTTTTCTAATTAGCAAATGCAAATCAGAGGTGAGCAACAAAAGCTTTCGATAAAGCAAGATTGGATTTGGTTAAGCGAACTAGCAAAAATATTACTTTACAAAAACAACACAAAAAGCATTAAAGTTTTATTTCGGAAAACCTCATTAATATGTCAGTTTAGTTTTTTTATGGAAACCCTTATCACTAAGTCACAATGATTAAAAATTTGTTATATTTAAAAGAATAATTTTGATTTATTAGCTCTTTGCATATTTTCATAAATAATTAAACTTTAATTAAGACTTAGTCCAAATATTAAAAATGTATAATAAAATAATTTGAATACGAAATGTTTTTACACACCTTTAATATGAGTGTGTTAAGTTACAGGTGCGGCCGGCAAAAAAAGCAGAATATCTCCCTGCCATTTCATATTTCAACACAAATTTTAGCATTTTTCGTTGTCCAGCCATTTCTAGCCATATTAAAGTTAGTAAATCAGTTGGCAAATGAAATTACTTGGCGGAGGTTGTTTACAAAATCCAGCTCACTCAAAAGAATATGGAATATTGTTCATTGTTTAATTTGGAAAATCTGAGCATTCTTGTCGCCAGCATCAATGCCTTGGTCTATTTGGTGCTATTGATGTATGACGTGATATTCTTGAATGAAGAATATAAGAAGTCAGCTCACAGCAGTGGTGAGAGTTAATGAGTTAAAGACCAACTACTCATAACAATCAAATTGTTTGGCAATATTTTAGATTTCAGTGGAAAATACGCTGTTCATTCCGAAATTATCCTTCTATTGGTATTCGGTATTGGACTATGTTCATCGGTGTTATACCTCAAAGGTATGCGGCAGGTAAGTTAATAATTTTGTTTTGAATATTACAATACTACTTTTTGTCACTACCATCCTCCACCTAGAAAAGGAGGGTATATAACTTTGTCATTTCATTTGTAACATCCCTAAATATTCGTCGTAGACCCCATAAAGTATATATATTGATGATCAGCATAAAATTCCAAGCCAACTTAACAAAGTCCGTCTGTCAATCTCTCTGTCTGCTGAAATCATGAAACAGCCCACATTATTTGACGTAGAGCTTCAAAAGTTGGCAGAACAAATTGTGTCAGATATGGTTGGTATTGAAAATGAGATATATCGGTCAACACTTCGTTATAGCCCCCATATAGCGGTACCTCCCAATATTCGTTGATTTGATGATTTTGCCAAATTTTTCAACGAATTTGTCTAAAAATTGGTATTTGTCATAATGGGTTCTAGCTTCGGTAGCGAAATATTGTACAACCCCCACATAACGGTACTTCCCGATATTCGATATTTTGATTATTTTAGCGACATTATTCACCGGAATTATTTCAAATTTGGTATTTGAAGTTCTTAATGGATACTACAGTCTATGACAGAAAATTGTTCGTGCAAGTCCACGCCTTCGTATAGCCCCCATATAATGGTACCTCCCTATATTCGGTATTTTGATGATTTTTGCGACAATATTTATCGGAATTGTTTCAAATTTGGTATTTGAAGTTCGTATTGGATACTACAGTCTATGGCAGAAAATTGCTCGTGCAGGTCCACGCCTTCGTATAGCCCACAAATAGCGGTACCTCCCGATATTCGTTATTTTGATGATTTTAGGGACTTTATTAACCGGAATTGTTTCAAATTTGGTATTTGAAGTTCGTATCGCATGCTACAGTCTATGGCAGAAAATTGTCTGTGCAGGACCACGCCTTCGTATAGCCCTCATACAATGGTACCTTCATATATTCGGTATTTTGATGATTTTAGCTACATTATTCACCGTTTTTTTTAAGTTTCGCATTTGAATATTGTAATGGCTTATGACAAAAATTGCCTATGCAGGTCCACGTCGTCGTATAGACTCTATTATAACGGCTATATTCGGTATTTTTAATATTTTAACAGAATTTTTAATGGATTTTATTTTTTTGAAAATTGCCAAATCCGTTCCAAATTATGGAGGGTATACAACTTTTTTACTTCTTTTACTGAAATTAACCGAAATGCGAAGCTTGACATGCATGGCATGTGATTTCAACAAGACGTTCAATGGACTTATTGAAAGGAAATTATGGCCGATTAATTGGTGGTTTAGACAGTGCGATTATTCGACTTTTGGCTGCTTTTGTGGGGATATATCAAAGCTCATATCTATACTGACGAGCCCGCTTCAATTGAGGTATTAAAAACCACCATTGAATCATTTATTCTTGAGATACCAGCCAAAGGTTATGCCAAAATTGGGCTTAGCGGATGGACAATTTAAGGCGCAGCAGCGGTTGACATTTGCATCAAATAATCTTAATAAGGATTAAGCCTGACCATTTCGCAACAACAAAATACTATACTGTCCGAACAAAGAAGCCAACACTGTTCTATAATCTTAAAACATTGAATTATATGGACCGTACAAAAAACCGTATATTGCGACTTAAAAGAATCAATTAAAAATCACCATTTAAGTTATGCTAGCTGTGCTCCCATTTCGAATGTTGGGCAATATTTAATATTGAAAGAATATTTAGCCATATCATGAAGCATTGATGTTATTTTTCGAAAATACATGTCAATATTTACTAACTACAATTTTTATTTACTCATTTCCATTTTTATTAGAAACACCCTGGCTTAATGAAACCCCTCCTCTATATGACAACTATTTGCATCGGCTTTGCAAGCGTTTCATTCCTTTGTTTCTACTGTGCAGCACTTGTGGGGAGTTTGGAGTACCTCAATGTCATCATTATGGGCTTTAGTTATTTTTTGGCCATAGGTAAAACTGAATCAAATTTCGAATAATACAAAATAATCAGGCTTAATTTCATTAATGTTGTTTTTATAAAAAGAAAGTTTTTTTGTAGAGAAAATTGGTAATGTTTAGCAAGGGGTATGGCAGGAAATACCCAGGTTTCGGAAGCCACAAGAATTTTAGATTAACTTAATTCTATGGTTCTTCTTGTATTGAGCTTATGATTTCGCAACTTGGGTAGAAAAAGTTTTCTATCATAGGAGTTAATTTAAAATAGCTCCTGGGGAGAATAACCCCAGACAAAAAGCAAGGAAACTGATCAGAATTGGTGGGTCTTTCCAAAACATAGGTATTCCCTGCCTTACCCCCCGGTAAACATAACCATCTTTGCCCACTAATAAACCAACGTTGTTTTTATAAAAAACAACAATAATGGGATTAAACCAGACTATTTTGCAACAACAAAATAGTACGGTATCCGAACAAGCATGTCAACACAGTTTTACAAAATAATAATATTATATTTATTTCCAGGTATTTTCGTCTTATTTTCCACACCATTATTTCAGATATATCAACGAATGTGTCAACGAGCAATTTATCCATTTAATCGGACCATTCGGCATCCGGAGAAACCAGTAGAACAATTAAACCAATAAAGCTTAAATTTGATGAGTCACATGAGTTTAGCGATAAGTTGCTGACTTTGTAATATGATTTTCCTTGGCAACATGTCGCATATCTAACAAGAAAACAGTATGACATTTATATCGATAAGTACATATGATTGAAAAATTTCAAAGTACATAAAAGTTCTTTGTACAGCTTTTAATAAGAATTCTAAAATTCTAACTTTGCCCAACTTCTCTAGAAAATGTGACTGAAACTTTAATAATAATCATGAAAACACTTTGTAAACAGGTTTGTGATATATCAAAAATTCAATTTTTTCAATAACTACAGGGAAAATCCAGCTGATTATGCATGTAGAGCTAAAAAAGACACGTGTGTCGGCGTGTTGAAACTTAAATTGAAAGTAACCAAAACAGAGCGTGAAGTTCCCCCTCTTCCACACTTTTGGAAAATTCCTCGGAATCCATTCACTGTGTGGACCTGGGCAATATTGGATATAAAAATATGAGGAACAGTTTTGCTGAAAATTTTAATCCTTAAGTGGGGTCATAGTAAGTCAAAATATTTTTTAAAATTGTTTGTCATATAATTCTACTATAAGTCCTAGAAGATCACAAAAGTGTAAATATTGCTTCGACGCCAGGAATTCAACTTCAGGGTGTGTGAAAATTCTGCAACCAACTTCAGCTGTTAAAATCATTCCAGTGGCATCTCACAATATTGTCTACAAGCGTATAAAAGCATTTTGGTAAGAATTTTCCAGAAAGAAAGTTATTCGTGATGGAGTTCAAGCGTGATAGCGTGATTTCTTTATATTTGGCTGGAAAGCCATAAGTGGCTGTCGTTAGAGCACTCCAGCATTTAAATGTGAATAAATCTTTTGTGTTTCGTACCATCGCTCGTTACCGTGATACTGATAGCGTACTCGGACGTCAAGAAAGTGGACGGAAGAAAACAGCAACATCAGCAGAAATGGTTCGAAAATTAAAGAAGCCACTTGATCGAAGCCCGCGTCGCAGTGGAATATCGCAATATTCCATTCGGCAAATATTGAAAAATAAGCTCGGGGTAAAGCCATTGAAATTCCAAAAAGTGCAAGAACTTACACCGCAACCGAAAGAAAATAGACTCAAAAGAGCTAAAGAGTTGCTTCGCTTGGCTGAAAGTGGTGAACTGCCGAATTTAGTTTTCTCCGATGAGAAAACATTCGTTGTCCAGATTGTAAACAAACAAAATGATCGTGTTTACTTGCCAAAGAGCAACATTCGGGCAGCGTGTGACGATTTGACGGCCATAATTCGTGCCAAAGGTGACCAATTCGAACAAATCTAAACTTATTCTAAAATTTGATGCTATTTCCGACATTTTTTGCTTTTATTCAATAAAATTAAAAAAATGTAAAATTTATGGCGTTTGACTTTGTTGCAGGTTTTTTATCTGACCCTGTATGTATTAAAACACACATTTTTTTTGGTCCAATAAGGCATCATTTTAGAAGGATGACGTTGAAGATAAAAAAATATTCTCCATCAAATTTTAATATATCAATGTTGCCAAAAAAAAACTCGGACTTTTTTCGAGTTGACGCATGATAGTAACATAATATTTGGTTTTAGGCGAATAGAGTTATCCTTACAAAGGGGAGTGTTCCAAAAAGTGGAGCGATATGGCCCAAAGATCTATCCTTAATATTGTGAAATATATATAGGGGTTTCTTTGTATATGGTCAAAACTATATAAGAACGTTAGCAACATTTAACCTAAGATCCTAATATTCAAAAACAGGGCCACTTAACATTTTCCATAACTAAAACTGACTATTGTTGGTCAAACTATGAGAAATTCAGCAATAAAATGAGAAAAAGTGATTAATTTTTTTGGGAAACAAACATTGTTTGTTAACAAAAATTCACTCAATTTTTTTTAATGGTATGTATTACGTATACAAACTTCATTTGTTCAGAGACTTGCAATGACAACCCTAAATTGTGTTTTTAATATATATGAATTCCTGGCGTTAAAATAAGATTCAGACCCTTGACATCTAGAGTTTTATGACAAATAATTTTATTGTATATTTTGTACTACTACGATTCCATTCAGTAATATTGTCAAAGACTCTATACACCTAAAATGTAAAGATTTCAAGAAATCTTCATCCAAAATTTTCAAAAAATTTGGGTGTGGACTTGCACTCTCTTCTATTTAACTCTAGTTTCATAACCTCCTAAGATAATGTGTCCGCCAGCTGGCACGATAAGGGAGTATCAGATTTGATCTAAACTTGGTAAATTGTAATATTATTTTAAAGCTAAGTGAACTCGATCGTAGATGGACAATATCAGTCCAATACAATATCTGATCCTCCCCCTCAAAAGGTCAACATTTTTACAGAAAATAATTTTACGTATAGAACAAGAAAAAAAATGCAAATCCCAATATTTGTGTTAGTGCTATGCCAGGTTCCAAAATGGCCAATATTTGTTTAATCAATCATGTACCTCCTCACAGACCATTAACATCTTGAATAATTATAAAATGCGAAATAAGCATCTGATTCTCTCCTATATTTTTACCAACACAAGATCTAGTGTAAAGATGAAAGCATCTAAAATATGATGTTATTTCCGACATTTTTGCTTTCATTCAATAAAATTTAAAAACAAGTAAGCAAAGGCTATAGTCGTGCGGGACCGACCATGTGACCTAACAACACTACAATATGTTCGAAGTGCCTTTATATGCAAATCCATTTTGGAAGGTTTCGTTTTTGAAATAATGGTTTTTGACCTGGAGAATTTGGCCAATATTTACGCGCTCCGTAGTATTGTGAAGTATTCAAATCAATTGCACACGAAAGTTGTGGTCCAGCTAAATATAATCCAATGGTCATCCAAAATGCTAGATTTCTGCTCTGTCATCAACTCTCTTCCGACGCGAAATTCCGTGTCGATTAGTTTTCAATTGTGGCCTATATAACGACTACAAAATTAGAAAAATTTAAATTTTTTAGCCATTTAAACCTCTAAATGCTAAGAACAATAGGCTTCAATTCCGACCCACACCCATGCAAAATTCCGTGAGGATCGGACGATAATTGCGACATACATATAATACCCTCAAAACGTAGTGTTGGGGGGTGTAAAAATTTAGAAATTTTAAAATTCAAAATTGTAAGTCAAATTGAAAAAATCGCATGCGATAAAACAATATGACAAAAATGGAAAAAAATGAAACAAAAGATATTCACTTTTTTATTGGTATATTATCCCGCGATTTTCTTAGATTTTATCCTTTTCTGGCAGGAGACCATTCCGAATTGATGTGAATTGTTAAAATCGGCCCAGCGGTTCTTGATTTATAAATAGAATAAATAAGATCAATTCTTTTACATACGTATTGTACCTATTTTGCTATATATCCAATTTCTTGGCTTTTAGCATCACTGTGATGGTCAGAAGTGATCTTTTTATGTATTTGTGATTTGGCTGGGATTAAAAATATTCGCGGTTTAGTGGAAATTTTTCTATTTTCTAACATAAAAGTTGGGGTCTATTTTACCCGCTAATTATTGTCCGATGGCCGCTCAAATTGGTAGGTTTCTGCCCAGTCCCAAACTCTAACTCCATGGTTTGGTCCATTTCAACCCCTTAATATCGTGCGATCTTCACCAAAATAGGGTTCTATTCTGACCCTAACCCCACCTCCATGTTCAATTTCGTGAGGATCGGTTCATAATTGCGATCTGTAGCTTGATTACAAATTAACATGGACAGACGGACATACATAGCTAGATCGACTCAGCTCGGCGAGCTAGGAAGACCTATATATACTTTCCTATGTGGGAAACCAATGTTTCGAGATGTTACATTATTTTTGGCCCAATCAAACTTATAATACCCCCAACACATAGTGTTGTAGGGTATAAAAAATAAAGTTTTGCAGTTTTTTTTATCTCATCCTGTATATCCAACCATCCCTTCTGGTACCTCCCCCACAACGGGTCAAAATTTTGAATAATAATATCTCTCATAACTTGCGAAAAAAAGGCAGTGATTCTTTCCAAACTTGGTATATTGAAATATTTCTCTAAACCAGAGATCTGATATGGTACCTCACCCACAAAAGGTTAACATTTTGATTAACAGCTGCAGTCATAACATTGGAAATAAATGTAAAATTTTCTTTAAAAGAGGCACATTACAATATTTTTATCAGTCAATCAGCCTTGGTCCATTATATCTGCAACCTCACGCAGACACGAAATGGGCAATATTGGCCTACTGCTTAAGAACCTCCCCCATAAAAGGGTCAACAGTTTGAATAATGATAATCATTGCATGAGGGTATAAATCTTTTGGCAAAACCAACTAATCCTTTTTTATTTGTTTTGTTGCACAATGTAATCAACAGATATGGCTAAAACTAAAAATGTGACATTGTGACCCGTTGCGGGTTTTAAGCGTTTTGAACACATTATCGATCCTAAAGCTGATATTTTGGAATCTCTGCGTTTTCAAATAATTTCTACAAGAAATAAAGGTTCTAAATTTTTTGGACACGTTTTCGAAATTTCAAACATGTATGTGTAATAAAAGTCTTTTATTCGATAAACATATACTCTATCTTCATACGTTTGGAAAATGTATCCCGATTCCCCACTGTGCCTAGGTTAGATATTTCCGGCAAAAGAAAAATAATTACTGTCTGGCATGTAGGTATAAGGAAAGAAATATAACAATAATTCCATTGAAGTAAAAAACAGATATTGATTCCTTTTTTGTAAGAATGCTATGCAGAACTATTTGAACCAGAAGATATACCAGAAGCGCACCACATAGACCGCAAACATTACTATATGGATTTCAAAAATACTAATTTGGTCCATTTTAAGCCACAAGTTTTTTACATAGACATGAGGCTGAGGATTTATAAATTTGTTGGAAAATATAATGCACAAACTTAGGACGAATCCACTTCTAATGACTAAATCCAGATCTTTAGACATGATTGTGGCACGTTTGCCAAAATTCACCGGCTCT